TAACTACAAACCATTAAGTTTATTTTTGTTATTAGTCTGTTGTAGTAGATTGGTAAATACAATGAAAACTATAGGCAAATATCCGATTTATTTAAAGATACGAAGAAGATATAACTCTCAAAGAGATCCGCAAAGCGGATTATTACACGGCGATTGGCAACATTGTTACGCAAACAACATTGTTGCGAGACAGATAGTTGAACGATATTTTATACAATGTCTATCCCCAGGTATGGATTTATTTTTGTCCAAGTTTTATATTGGTCCACTATTTCAAATGCAGTTCAAACAGACATATTTATATTAAATTGTATGATTCGTTTTAAATTCGTTCAATCTGTATATATATATATATATATATATATATATATATATATATATATATATATATATATATATATATATATATTCATATCTTCATATAAATTAATTAATTAATTTATATAATTCATCCTTTTCGCTTTCGTCGCTATTAGTAACAACGTCGTTTTTCGTCATTGAATGACGTAGGTTTTCGTAAAAGAGATGATAAAGTGGGTCTATGAAAGGTAATAAACTTAAAATGTCTTTATATTTTTCTTGGCTAATTCGATTTTGCCTTTTTCATAGGCATGAGAAACAATACTGTTTAACGTAGTCGTAAAATTATTCCGTTTTCCTTTTCTTAGATCAATAATTTTAAATGGTTCATCTTGAAGTAAACTGCGCTTACAATATAGTTTTTTATAATATAGTTTTCTAAAGGATTCTTTGCGTATTTGTATCCAAAATATTTGGTTCCAGGAAACACTTTCATTACCTTCATCTTTCGTCTGTCTTACAAACAAACTAGATCTCAACCAATTTGAAAAAGAGAAGGAAACTTTAGTTTTCATTTTATATACCTTATATTTCTGACTACTCATTCGCACCAAATTACACCAATCGTGAGGCACATTAATTATCCCATCGAACTGTTTCTTCTTCCTCTTTAAATTGGCATGATCTGAGTTGCATTTTAAATACATATGGCTTGGAACCAAATATTTGTGATCTATTGTTGTTACAAAAGGTTAATGTTAGATTTTGGATTGGGCATGTATCGGAATAAAATATAGAATGCTTAATCTCGTTGGATGTATCCTGAATAAACTTTAGTAAATATGAAGTAATTTCATTGGTACTACTTTGACCATTACCTTCATGCCACATAAAGCAGCTTGTGGTAATTTCTTACTATGAACTTATATGTCCATGATTTATGTTTGTAAAAACTGATACTTGTATTTAAGCACGGTGTAGCAAGCCATTGCTGGAGATCAAATACGGCCATCAGTATTTGTCATTCAGAATTGCGTGATTTAATTTTACCAACTGCTTCACATTTGTAATGAAAATCGGCCTTTTCTTTGTGAATATCATATTCCGACTGCAACTCACACTTTTCGTTTTCATCGGTTACAGTTTTAATTTTAGACAGGTAAGTATCACAAGTTTTACAAGTATCATGAGCCTTTTTGAGGTTTAGATCAAATTCTAAAAACCCTTTTTGATGTATACTGAAACTAACGGGAGTCGACGATCCCTGTAATTCTGAAGATATTACATAGACCTTGTACAATTTGTAGATCTTTTGCAAATTCAGATCACTACACAAATACTTTGTTGATGTTCTACGTCTCGAGTAATGATTCTCGTACGCCGGAAAGCTAGCAATATGTTGACGAACTTTACTAATATCTTCATCTGACTGTTTGTTGAAGGGAGTGTGCCTACCTCGTTTATCTCCCTGTATAATAGTAGTGTCAGCATTTTTCTTCTTTTTGACAGTTGCATTGATAAAACTTCTACCTTCAGCAAATATGGCTTGGAAGCAAGCCCTACATACTTCAACTTTTAAAGAATGTTGTGTGATAAAATATTTTGCTGTAACAGTTCTGCTTCGGCGATATACTTTTAGCTTACGCTTTGGTGCAGCAAGTTCAATCAAAGAACTTAAAAATTAGCGTTGTTCATCCCGAGATTTTAAGTTTCGATAGTGACGAAAATACATCATTTTTGTTTTATCTTCAATATGACATACACTTATCATTTTCTGACTTCAGTAATGAGATTAAGAGTTATCTAGCCATTATATGATATAAACACTTATCACTATTTGACCATAAAAAATTAAAAATGTATTTTTATCATTGCGTGACAAGAATACTTATGATAATTTGATCATACATAGACAAAAAAAAAATTGCATATATCATTAAATAACCAACGTTGTCAATCAAATTAAATTCGTCATGCATTTAGTATGTATCTTTCTAAACGATAACGAATGTTGGTTTGATTACTTTATACAATAAACACAAAATGACTAAAAATGGCAGTTATCACCTTCTAACCAAATGGTACATATATATATATATATATATATATATATAAATATATAATATATATATATATATATATATAATATATAATATATATATATATATATATATATATATATATATATAATTATATATATATGTATATATATATATATATATATATATATAATATAATATATATATATATATGCTAAAAAAGCTACATTGGCCAGACATCGCAATGGCTAAAACAACGTATCACACAGCATAAAAGTGATTGCCGCTTAGGAAAAATACTTGTGCAGTAGTCGAGCACTATGAAAACACCGGTCATCTGTTAAACTACAACAGTGCTCGTATTTTGGCATAGACTGAAAATTATAAAATAAAGTAGGTTAGTTTTGAAGATGTACCACATCAACAAAAATAAACAAACTGTAAATTATAAAACACTTACTTTAATGATTAATCATACTAACTTGCCTTAATGATTAATTAAAGAAATAATATTCCTCTAATGTTTTCTTTGTAAAAGAAATCTTTGTAAAAGTGGTGTACATAGTGAAAGGGAAGAAGCTAGTTTAAGAAACTTCAATAAAGAAATAAAACAAAGATGTAAGGCCGACAAAAAACAGTACTATCAAAGTATATGCAAAGAAATTGAGAGACATGGTCAGAATTATCAGCCGGGAGATCTATTTAGAAAAATACGCTACCTGACAAGAGACTTCAGAGCTAGAACTTGGGCCATTGAAGATAACACTGGAACCCTGAAAACAAACAGAGAAGACATAGCAGAGACATGGAGATCGTATTGCAGGGACCTATATAAAGATGATCAACGCCAAGAGCTTGTTAGCCAAATCTCTGACGAGGTGGAAGAAGAACCAGATATACTCGAAAATGAAGTAAGACAGGCTATCAACAAGCTCAAATATAACAAAGCACCAGGTCCAGATATGATAACAGCAGAAATGCTTAAAGCCACAAAAGAAATCGGCGTAAAGTTACTTCATCTACTCTGTAATCAAATATAGCATTCCAAACAATGGCCTAAAGACTGGAAAAATCTACAATAACGACCATACATAAAAAAGGCAGCTTCCATAAATGCGACAATTATAGAACTATCTCTCTTATATCCCATGCCAGCAATATAATGCTATATATAATCAATGAGAGACTTAACACATTCCTTCAAAGAGAAATTCCACAAGAGCAAACTGGATTTACCAAAGGTAGAGGCACTCGAGAACACCTGCTGAATATAAGACAGATAATCGAGAAATCTAGGGAATTCAACATCCCACTATACATCTATTTTATAGATTACCATAAAGCGTTCGACAGGGTCAAGTGGAGACACTTATGGCGAATACTAAAAGAAGTAGGCGTACCACAACATCTAATTAAGCTTATAACTGAACGATATGAACACACTACTGGATCAGTTAAAGTACTTGACACACTTTCGAACGAGTTTCATCCAGAACGGGGTGTCAGACAAGGATGTATACTATCTCCACAATTATTCAACATATATGGAGAGTATATTATGCGAAGAGCACTTGAAGGATGAGAAAAGGGCATCTCAACAAATGGTCATAAACTAAACAACCTACGTTTCGCAGATGATACAGCCCTTCTTGCAAATAGTCAAGCAGAGCTGATGGAACTTATACGACTGATCGAAAACGAAAGTCAAATATTTGGTCTGCAATTAAACATATCAAAGACAAAGATCATGATAGTGGATAGACTACACAACAATCATCCACACATAATCACAATTGACCGGTTCGAGTCGAGGTTGTGAGCTCATACTTATATCTGGGATCATTAATCACAAACACAGGGTCATTACAAGAAGAGATTAAACGTAGATGTGATCTAGCAAAAGTTGCCACAGAAAAAGTGAACAAAATATGGAAAAAATGTCAAATTTCAAGAGCGATAAAGATGAGGTTGATCAACTGCTTAATATTCCCAATACTGACCTACGAATGTGAATCTTGGACTCTGAGACAATCGGAGAGAAGAAAGATAGACACCACTGAAATGTCCTGTTGGAGACGAATGTTACGAATTCTTTGGACCGACCGTAGAACAAATAATTCAATTTTAAGAGAGCTAAGAGTTAGCCAACGACTCTCTAGTAAAGACTCATAATACAAGGAAAGGTAGAAGGCCGAAGATCACGAGGAAGATCCCAACAAGATGGATAGATCAAATTACAGGAATATGCCAAAGACCTATGCATTAATTAAAAGAAATGACCAGAGACAGAGATCTCTGGAGACGGACAATACACGACATCACGTCGACTACTACACTCCCTGGGGGGTCAGGATTGAAGAGAGAGAATGTTTTCTTACATTGTTATTTTTTGCATTTTAAAATAACTTTTACTTGTTTCTATCTTATTTATTACAGTTACAGATCATACACAGTTACAGTTACAGATCATATATATATATATATATATATATATATATATATATATATATATATATATATATATATATATATATATATATATATATATATATATATGATCAGGAGAGACATAATTGTTGAAGATTTCAATAAAAATATCCTATTTCTCACAACAAAAATCATAAAATAATAAAGTATATAAGAATAAGTTTTAAAATTTACCTGCAAGTGTAGAAATAATTACTTGAATATTATTTCGTAATAACGTCCTAAAAGTCTCCTGGTTCTCCATTTAAAAAAATCTGCATTACTTTTATAACTATCCTATAATGTCACGTGCATTGACTGTGTTCAAACTATAACAAATGAGAAACATTTTTATTACTTACAGAGCATAACATTTCCGTAAATAACAACTATTATCCGACAAGCGAGAGCTGGCGGGTGAGCTGCGCGAAAATAGAAAAGGAATTGTTCTAAGAGAGATAGGAGAGGTACTTAATCGCGGGTGTCACAAATGCGTAGTTGCCGTATCAAAAATTTAGTTGACATCTGAAAATTACGTTAATAGATATGTTCCGTGGTTGTGTCATTGCGTGTGTGATAAACTTATTTACTACGAAAACAAAATAAAAATAATAATATTGAAATAAAACCTAGAAAAAAATTGTTAATAATATTTATGTTCATAAAACGTAATTAATTCTCGAAGGGAAGGTATTTTTGTATGTATCGCAGACTGATGCAACTTGTGTGTCTTAATGATAACTAAACTAAACACAACACAGAACACACGTCCTTTGTTTAGTTTTCTAAGCCAGGCTTACCCTAAAATAGTGACACAAAGAAAACCGCAAATCACTCCCAGTGGAACTTTCTACGCACAAGCAGCAAAAGCTCAAGAAAATGAGAATACTATTCTTATTGCCAGACAACCTAAAGACGGCCTAGTAAACTCTGAAAAAGAGCTACTCATTAGGGTTGTCAACGAGGCGATATTAGACATAAAACTAGCACTAAACTAGTGCAAGCTAATAGGGGATATTTGAGAATAGACTCCTGGAACCCAGGAGTTATAAGGACCAACCAGAATATACTGGACAAACTGGTCAATAGATATGAAATGAACGTTGTAACCATACAAAAAAAAACAAACATAAGAGTACAAATGAGGCTATCCACTATGCTAATGGCTAATGACACTATCCAGGAAACGGACTTTCTACACACCTAGACTTTGTAGTAGCAAAAACCTAGGACTACAAACAGAACTAAAAACGTTAAATGAAGACACAACTGACCACAGCCCCATTCTATTAGAACTAGAAACGTGGGAAGAAAAAAGCATAATTAAAAGAATCAAAAAGGAAACAAAGTGGACAAACTTTAAGAGACTCGTGAGCACCGGAATAAACATAGTTCCAGTGATAGACAACCCACGAGAAATAGAAGACAGATTCCTAGAGTTGAAAAACATCATCCAACAAGCACTCAGAAATAGCGCTACAAAACAGGAAGTAGAAATGCACACGGAAAGATTTAAGGACATACCACAAGTAGTAAAAGACTTGATAAGAGAAAAAAACAGAGCAAAGCAGACAGCAAGAATGACAAGGAACCAGGCAGACAAAAACAGAGCAAATAGGCTAAACAGAGAGGCCAAAACAGCACTACAACAACACCGTAGTGAAAGCTGGGAAAACCACATAAGAGACATGGAAGAAGAAGGACCAAATACGCAAAATATTTGTAGACTTCAAAAGATAATGAGAAGCGACAGAAAGCCAATCCCTCGACTACACGGAGAAAACGGAATAGTGTATAGCACAGAGGAAAAAGCAGAGGTAATGAGGAGTACTCTCGAGAGAGAGTGTACATTAAATTATCACCCAGACGAAGACATCGACTTCATAGAAGAAGTTGAAAGACAAAGGAATAGAACCGAAAACCAAAATGAAATCATCCCTCCCACATCACCGGAGGAGATAAATGGGTTGATCAAAAACAACTCGCCGAAAAAGGCACCTGGTCCAGATCAAATCACAAATAGGGCTCTAAAATACTTACCAGCGAGAGCCATAGTATATTTAACAAACATCATTAATGCAATGCTAAAATTTAAGAAATTCCCAAACAGATGGAGAGAGGCCCATGTCATAATGTTACCAAAGTCCGGAAAAGACAGCACATTCCCGCAGCACTACAGACCAATAAGCTTACTACCTGCAATCAGCAAGATTGTAGAGAGAGTAATACTCAGCAGACTCCAAGCCGAAATAGACAGATTATATATATATTACCCGAAGCTCAATTCGAATTCAGATCAGAAGACTCCAGCGAGTTACAAATACTCAGACTAGCAGAGTATATAGCAGCTGGTTTCAATGATAAACAATTTACAGGAGCTGCCTTTCTAGATGTAAGCAAAGCATTCGATAGAGTCTGGCATAAGGGACTGATCTACAAAATGAGAAGATCCGGGTACAGCGGAGCAATGACAAGACTGATCTCTTCGTACTTGAGCAACCGTAGTTTCAGAGTTAGGATAGGACAAGTCCTATCCGAACTAGGGAACCCGGAGGCTAGAATGCCACAGGGAGCAGTACTGTCACCTCTACTGTACACTATATACACAGCAGATATACCTAGAACACCAAGTACACTACTAAGCCGCTATGCCGACAACACAGCGATAGCGGCTAAACACAGAAATGTAGACATAGCTACATAGCTACATAGGTCAACAACCTACAAACAGCACTAGACGAGATAGTAGAATGGAGTCTAAAATAAAAGATAACAATAAACTCCGATACGACACAAGCTGTACTTTTCAAAAAGAGGCACCAACAACCGGAAGAACAGGTAACTGTGCAAGATAATCCCATCGAGAGGACAAGCGAAGCAAAATAGCTCGGAGTAATCTTGGACAAAGGACTAACATTTGGCAAACACGTAGAAGCCACTATACAAAAAGCCAACATGGCGAGAGCATCTATAAGAGGCCTAACAGGAAGGAAAAGCAAACTTCGACTAAAAACAAAAATAACTAACACATGCGTTCCTCGCATGGGGACACATATGCAACACTACATAAAAGAAAATACAAGCAGCACACAACAACAACCTAAGAGAAGCAGTCAACAAGCAGCAGAACAAATCAGAGTGACTGACACGATGAAAGAAAAAAGCTAGGATAAAGTTCGCGGAGTTAGAGAACCACCCCTGTCACATACTGCGCGATATAATGAGGTATGACGCTTTCCATTGATGGAAGCACAAAAGACCTAAACAACAAATAGTGGAATAAAACAAAATACCAGAAAAAGAATTAAAAACCACCAACAAAACCCCAGAGAGACAAAATTCCAAAAAACAACAACAAAGCACAATGAAGACAGTTCGTAGCTCAAAAACACCCAGGACTATCGCCAAAAACATTCAAAGTGGGCCCGGTTGCCTTAAAGAAGACATACTCTATATTGTCATATTGTTTTATATTTTATATTTTTCAGTATTAAAGTACAGATTTTACACTAATTCTGTATTTTTGTTCCAGGGCCACCTACAAAAAAAGATTTACAAAAAACTGGCTTCGGCCTCCAAACAAATTATAAAATTACTAATAAAAATCGGCGAAAGCCACCAAAAAAATTAACAAAAACCCCAAAACCCGGCCACGTAGGGTACAACCCCTTGAGCACCAAGTCGCTGAAGTGAGCCGGGGCTCAGAGCGGAGACTTGAGGCCCAAGTAAGCAATTTTAGTTCGCGGATAAGCCACATTAAGATAACAGGAATATAGCGACAATGCGCTGTCCTGAGTTTTTGCATTCGGTTAGGAAACCATGTTGGGGTTCTATTATCCAGGACCTCCACATGAAGAGCATTTGGCTAATAGTTGTGCCTCTATAGCGCATCAGAGTGCTATAAGGGGGAAAGGGATGGTGTGGAGCATTGAAGCGCGGTGGGGTGACTCCTGTTTTTACACGAATTAATACACCTCGCTCCAATTAATTGTTACACCCGATCGTAATTCTAAGGTGTAAACATTTCTCACAGGCTGGGTTCAATTAAATTGCTTGCTTTCTTGGGAGGAGCATCTGTTGAGTTCAGTTCGAGCGTTCAAAGTAAACGGTAATGCTTTGTATTTTAGCTAGTACGACGTTCCTACAGCGCATGTTCAGACGGCAGCCATAGTCACCGCCATTATTCTGACCGCTTGGACGACCACGTGCCAGAGTACAAAGGAAAAAGCCACATGCGAGTTTCCTGTGAGTTATTAGTTCAGTGCAGGATATTTTGTACAGGTTGGTGCTCTTGCTGATTTTTCGGAGATTCTGTCGGTCACGGTGAATGCATAGTAGGTAGTTTCAGTAAGAAAGGCCACCCACGTACGCTGTTGCCGAACCTGCCAGCTTCCGATTAAGCATCGGGACATACTGACGTTGACTTAATAGCTTGTGCTGTACGAGAAGAGTACTATTCAGGAAAAAGCAGACCAGTGGATTGTTGTAGGACAATGTTGGATATTTTTACAGGTACCATTCAGTTCTTTTTTGGAGATTCTGCAGGTCACGATGTAGGCATAGTGGGTGGTTTCAGTAAAAAAAGGCCACCTACGTACGCTGTTGTCGGGGCTGTCAGCTTCCGATTAAGGATTGATACTACTAACTCTGTCTGAATACTTTCATTGATTTTATAAAACAATATACTAAACATAGGGAAAAGTTACTATAGCTACTAATAAATTGTAACTATAGAAAAATAAATAGTACACAACGAGGTACCGCTAGCGTATAAATAGTGTTGGTATAGTCCGGCTACCCGCCATTCTATTCGTTGCAAAGCGAATAGAAAAAAAGGTTTCTTCTAGGGCAACCTATTTTCCACAGTTGTAAAATGCCCAGATCGACTTATTCCAACAGGTCACATAAACCCAGGCCAGTCGAACCACCGACCCTCTTTCAACCGCAACACACACTAACCCTGATTACACGGCATTCCCACCCCTACCCATACATAATGCCCCACAAAACCCTTTATCACCCCTAGCTATCTCACCAAACCATTCATACACACAACCCACACCACTTGTACACACTCCACCAATAATACATATCCCTGAAGATACTACCAATCCTGGGATAAACGTTACTACTGATAACTTCGTCACAGAAGTTGACCAACTGACAACTGACCTTGTAACCAACCTCCCTGATAACCAAATTGACCGGTTGATCGCTCGTTTGCAGCTGTTTCGGTCGTCCCCCAGCTCTAATCCTTCTTCTTCACCCACTACCACCCAAGCAGCTAATCAACAACACACTTCAACCACACATATCACACAAATTTAAG